CTAGTTCATGCATTCATGACCTCTAGACTGGACTATTGTAACGCACTGCTAGGTGGTTGTCCTGCATCTTCAATAAACAAGCTACAGGTAGTCCAAAATGCAGCAGCTAGAGTCCTTACCAGGTCAAGAAAATATAATCATATTACCCCAACTTTACAGTCTCTGTAGTGGCTACCTATTAAGTTCCGTATCAGTTACAAAATATTATTACTTACATATAAGGCGTACCTAACTAGTCTTCTACCACGCTACAATCCATCACGCTCCCTAAGGTCGCAAAACTCTGGACTTTTGGTAGTACCAAGGATAGCAAAGTCCACTAAAGGAGGTCTTTAATTGTTTACGTCTTTAATTTATTTTTCCGTACATTTGTAATGTACATTAACTGACAGTCACCACTGATAAGCTACCACTAAATAATTTTAAAATATATAACTTTTTTGCTAACTTAAATCAATCTTAACATAAACCAGTATAATAAATGTGTTATTATATTAGCTATGACTTTAATATAAAAGGGCTTAATGCTAAGGATTTTTTTTTCTACTGGCCCAGTTGTGCAATTTTAGATTTTTACTTGCCCTGTCAAAATTTTCAAGGGCCCCACCACACAGAAAAAAAAAGCTATTGTTTTCATTGTTTTTGACCTATTGACCTTGCAAACAGTGCTTTAAGACTTTCAGGTCTAAGAGTAAAATTAAGTAGGGAATATACAGAGCAATTGAATAATCAAATACTGCCCTTATTGTATAAATTAAATGTAGATTAATCCTTATTATAGTTACAAAAGTCAAGCACAGTGGAGCAGTGAGTGATTTACTATGTTTTATTATTATTTTTTAATGTATGCATGTATTTATTTATTTATTAGCATTTATGACACAGCCAGCAGCTGAAATATTAGGCTGCTGTCACCTGATGCACATGACATTCTGGACACATATCCAATTTGTTTAAGACTTTTTTAAACTCATTTAAGGATGTGCTTGCTAGGACAATCGCTAATAATTTGACATATCTATTTATGTATCATGTTGTGTGTTTTATCAATTGAAACGTGAAAGAGAACTCTCTGTGGTACTGGAATGCGAATTTCTGTATGCGTCTATTAGGTGAATGAAAAGAGGATGAAAGAGGAAATACAGACAACATGTGCAGAATGGAGTTCCCTTTTGCTTTTTATCATGCTTGAATAGTTTTAAAACACTTGAATGAATGACAGCTTGATCATATGCTGTAACCCTAGCCAAAGGATACCAGCAAAAGTGAATTTATTGCGTTAATATATTTAAGTAACTATACTGCATAAAGTAAAATGTATTTATATACAGTAAAATAAATTAATCATGCGTTTAAAAATATACATTTAGACTTATTGAGAATAGGCACATAATTTTAAATTTGAATTTTTCTATCATTTTTAGTTTTATTATTCATTTTATTTATTATTTCATTATGAGATTGTGAGTGCTGAATTAGTAATTTAGCTTTTATCAGTCTTCAGAATATTCTTGAAGATTTGTATACAAACAATTTGTAGAATTGCTGTAAATTGTGTAAGAATATGCTGTAAGTTGATCATGTCGTTTTCAGTGCTGTTAGTACAGTGATAGAAAAGTGTCTATCCAAACATACATACAAAAAATATATATAAGTGTAAACTTTAACAAATCAACACTGTGGATATACCAAGGTTTGACCACAAAGGCTGAGTTCTCTGCATTTATGGATCGCAGAGACTTGTCAAAATATTATAAAATCACCTCTGAGGTAAAACATGCCTTGTCAGTCCTGAAATGGACATGCACTGCCAAATAGATTTGAAATGAAGACATTAAGACTTATGAATGGTACTACATTAATCAAATTAATATAATAATGTTAATTACATTTCATCTAGAAAATGACTATTGCGTGAAAAGAAAAGGATGTGCAATGTCAATTTCTAATACATTCTCATGTGATGTCAACATTGATATGCACCATCCTTTGGCATCTAAGGACACTAAATATTTAATTCCAGCCCTGACACTATGGCCTTCACTAAGATGCCACCCAGCAATTTGAGGTGACATAAATCAGGGAAACATCCAGCTGCTCATCTGCATCTACACTCTGTACAGGCCCCTTGACAACCCAATGTCCTTCACACCATCTTACTCCAGAGTAACATTCCCTTCACAGGAAAGCTCAGAATCTCAACAAAAATCATGTATCATGAGTTGAAGCATCACCCCACATTTTGCATAAACACAACATTTCATCTGCATAAATTACACTGCAAACTCATTTTAGTCACAGTTAGGGATTAGGCCCCAGGCCTATACTGTAAAATATTTTATCAAGTAACCTAAGTATGTGCTTTCTGTGGTAACATCTAAATTAAAGGTTTTAATTCAAATCAAATGCATGTTTGACTAAACCAATCAAACTGTGTCCTGGGGCTCATTTCAATAAGGAGGTTCAACCAACTCTGAGTTAAAACTTGAACTCTGAGTTGACTTACAATTTTACATGTTTTATGTAAAATGCAGTTAAAATGCACTTAAATGCACTTGTTTCCCCCAGGAAAAAACTTCTTAAATTGTTTCCCCCTGGATAACAATAAATACCTAAATACCTTATATAATTTTTCATCTATAGAAATTGCACCTCTCCGTCTGGCATCCTTCCATTCCATACAGTAGGCTAATCTGATTCATTTTCAGAAGGTGCGATAATGGGAATATGCGTGTCATCAATGCAGCCAACCACACTGAAAATCCTGAAGAAAATTTGAATTATTGGGTTACTGACAGAGGTTGCAGCAAGATGTTATCAAGTGAACATAATTTATCAGATTAGCCTCATTTAAAACTTTTTCTACAATATTGACCTACAGTCCAGTGAAACTCCTCTTTGACGGATTTGTGCGTGAGAGCGGTGTACACTTTCCTTATCAGTCTGCATACAGCGGCCTTACTAATGTGCTCTGCAACTCCAATGTTTTAAAGAAAACTACCATTTAAAATGCTACTGCTCAAATAAATATGCATGTGAATATGGGAAAAAAAAAAAAAAAAAAACTCCCTACAAATATATGCATCCTCGTCTTCTACGGGATCCTGTATAAGAGGAGATGCCATTTTTGTCACTTTGACCGTGTCTACATGATGAACATATGCGCAGTGAATGAATATATGCACTGCAAAAAAGGCTTTATAACTTAGAATTTTTGTCTTCTTGTTTCCAGTCAAAATATCTAAATATTCTTAAATCAATATGCATTTTCTACATAAAAAAGACATAAGGTATTTAGCCTTCTTTCCATGGGGGGAAAATTATTTAAGTGCATTTTTCTTATTTTGCTAATTATCTGCCAGTGGGGTAAGAAATTACAAATATGCTTGTTTCCGTTTGCATTAAGATAATTTTTCTTGCCCTATGGTGGACAATTGTACATGTTTTATGTAAAATGCAGTTACAATGCACTTGTTTCCCCCAGGAAACAACTTCTTACATTGTTTCCCCCTGGAAACAAGGCTAAATACCTTATATCATTTTTCATCTATAGAAATTGCATCTTAACGTAAGGTTTAATGAAGAAAACCTGCTCCCGACCAGGTTAGGTTCATAGTGTAAGTTACCACGGTGACTGACTCTGAGTATAAGTTTCCTCTCTTTCAGAAATGGGCTTGACTTACCCTGCTTTCTCGGGTTTGACAAACCTTCCATTCTGAAACGGAAAATCCAGAGTCTCCCTCATTTCAGGGTTAATACTCAGAGTTTTCACTTAACCTCCTTTCTGAAACAGGCCCCAGGTCTCTCTCCATCTTTAATGCATTGGAAAAAGGACAGCATGTCATTCCCCCAAGAACACACACACAAACACACACAACCATGACTCATCACAGGTGCTGAGGATTACTACAGCAATAAATGGAGACTGTCTGCGTGTCTAGAGATTTAATGCATGGAGAAAATGGCAATAACAACAACAAAATAATAAAGATAAGGGTTCTTGCTTTTGGATTATTATTATAATATAAGCTCTGTGACCAACAAAAAGTTTATTGTTTCTTACATGTTTTGTTCATCATGATAATCTTCACAAATGAACACGTTTATGAATTTTGAAGCCTAAATACAATTACCAGAAGTAAAAAGGGAAATGTAGGCTACAAATGTACTACACCACGGTTGCTTGACTTCAACGTCACCCTCACTAAGCTTCTGACAACTCTGTCAGTCTTTGTTACTTACTTTGAGTGTGTGTCAGAAGAGCAGGGAAGTTTGGGGGCATAATATCACAGACCACTGTGGCCTGTCTGGCCTGTCAATCAACCTGTCACAGTTAACATCCTCAAATACACACACTCCACATTTATTTGTAATTTATTTACATACATTCTAAATACAAAAAGAGCATTATATATTCACAACAATCTTTTGTAAAATGTTTTTAGTTTTTTTCCCCTAAATGTGTCTTATTAGCAAACATGAACAGACAGCAACATATTTCCTCACAGTTGCTCTGCAGAGATTGCATCCCCCTGTACCAATCCTCTAAGGATGTAGATTCTACAAAGTACTAAACCACCATACAAATATTACATGAAAGCTTCAAGAGTATGTTTATAGAGGGTGTTGCATCAATGGGTGGGTTTTGGGTCCTGTGACATTTCTGCCCCATGGCCCCTCATTTGATCCGGCACTGCTGTACATCCAATTAATCAAGACCCAAAGCACAGTAGGTAAAAGCTGAAAAGATCTGTAAACAATTGGACTGAGTGAAGGCAGCTGGTCTCATAAAACTGAAGCTATGTGTGAAAACCTGAACAGATCGACCGCTGAGAGGCAAATGAAAGCAGTAGTTTGCCTGGCTGAAGCTCAGAGAATGCACAGAGAGAATTGGCAGATCACTACGATGGAGACCTGTTATTTTTGCTCACTTCTAAGTCAGTCAAAGAATCGATGCCCAGCAGGTGGTAATGAAGGCCAGAGTAAAAGACTGCACTTACTATAGTGAAGTTCATAACTTTGAGGATCCAGATGGTGAGAGCAAGGTTGACCACTATGAGGATCATGAGGAGTAGGACAAAGAAGTAAAGGCAACGTTTCCGCCAACCATAGATCCCCACTTTATACACTTGTGGTTTTTCAGTACTCTGGACATTGTTTCTTTGAGGGCACTGTTCCTGGGTCATCTGCAAGAAAACACAAATAAAATGTTAATTACGTTAATTGAAGATTCTGTCAGAGGCCTTAAAACTTGATTTAGATATCAATGACTCTTGTTGGTCCTAATATAATATTTATTTTAAAAAATACATTAAGAATGCTATTATTGTAAATACTGTACAACGATATACACTTTTTTTCTTCTTTTTTTTTTTGACCAATAAAGTCATGTAATCCACCAAAATAAGGAAAGATGCTGAAATAAACAGGAAATTGGATCACAAGTCAAGAAAAACAAATTCAAGTATTGGTTGTACAATGTTATGTGGTGCAAATCCCCAAAATATTATGGTATTTATAAATTCATAATTTTATTATATTTGTTAAAATAATTTTTATCTTGGAAAAACAACATACATTTTGTAAAACAACAAAAACACATATCTTTTGAAAGTAAATACTGGGATGTGTACTCTCACATATTCAGTGTGTTAGTAAAATATGTTCTTGTTTTACTTTTTACAAATTGGTACGTTAAAATAGCGCTTCAAAGGGAATCACGGCATGTCAAGCTTATTGTTATTAAAATAGGCCCTAATTTCAATTGAATTTGGGCATGGGGATTTTGATCATCTGCAATATATTTGAGCACCCAATATGTTTTTAGCATCCTCTCTGTCTTATTGTAAATATCAATAGATGTAGATGTGTGTATGTATATATATATGTAACAAGAAGAAAAAAAACATAACTTTATATCGCTTGTTCCCTTTAACACTGGCCTTTATTAACAGTAATTGTTTTTACATAAACAAATGGAAAATACATCATGCAAGCCTATAACTCTGTTGTGTATTTCAGATGCTGTCACATTCTACAATCCTATCATCTGCAAACTGCAACTCAGCACACATAATGGACTTACAGGCATTATAATGGACTGTAAAGATTTTTCAATGGATTTGGTCTTCATTAAATATATTTTGAGTTTCTATTTTGTTTTACCTCTTTATGTATTTATGTTCAGTGCCATTTGTCATTTATTAATTTACTCAGTTAATAATGTCACATTTAAATAAAAAAAATTATTGATTGATTGATTGTACTTATAACTTATAAGTTAAACGTACTTAATTGAGAAAACTTTAATCATTGACAAGTAGCGTGCATTAAAAATAAATAAATACAAAATGGGTAAATTTTTAATTCATGCAATTTTTAAATGTGCTGAGACCACAAAGCACAGATCTGCAAACAGTTGTTTTCAAGGCTCAATGTAGAGTGTGGAGGCTCAGGATTTAAGAATAAATCCTGCTTTTATAACAAATGTCATATGTACCCTTTGTTCTTTTTGTGAATCTGGCAGGTTGCTGTGCTTGAAATTTTAGAAAGGATGATGCTTTACTGTTGGCTCTGAAAAAGAGGATTGTCAGAAAGCTGCAGAATATGAAACACCTGCTTGTAGTTTAGCCTACCTCCCTGGTGCCTACACTTATTGGCAGCTCACTGGAAGAGCTGCAGGCCCATGCTGTCACCTTCAAGAGCTGTGCTCTTATACACTCACCCATTCCTCTGTTTCTCTACATTGCTTATAGCTAAAAGCTAATACATGAACCATTTAGTTTGTTCTTTTAAACATTCCTCCAGCACAAAGTGTATTTGTTTATTTGTACATTTAGCATTATACAGATTTTATCATAGAGACTTCTGAGGCCACTTGTTATATCTGGGCAGTCATCTGTACAGTATTGTGATTGTGCCTAAGCACCTTCACAGTTTTACATTGACTGCAAGACTTTGTTTCCTACAAGTACAAGAAGGCTATGGGGATAAATGTGGTAATCCAAATATACAGATAAACTAACCAAATATTTTGTTTTTTTTTTTACCATTTTTACCGTTTAAAGTATTTGGGTTGGTAAGAGGTTTTAATGTTTTTGAAAGTCTCCTTTGCTAAATGCAGCCAAGGTTGCAATTGTTCTGCCAAAAATACAGTGTAAAAAACAAAAAAAAAGGAAAAATCCATTCCATTATAATTTAAAATATATAATTACTTGAAAGTTATATATATAAAATGTAATTTATGTAAATGGCAAAGTAAGTGGCAACATTTTCAGCAGCCATTATTCCAGTCTTTAATGTCACATGACCCTTTAGAAATCATTCTGTTGAGAACAGTTGTGCTGCTTAATATTTTTGTTTAAACCATAATATTTTTTTTCAGGATTCTTGGATGAATATAATCTAGCAGCATTTATTTGAAACATATTTTGTGAAGTTTGTCCAGTCACTTCTGATCAGTTTAATGCATATCTTCTGAATAGATTGTATTAAAAATAAATAAATAAATAAAAATCTACACCCGTAAACTGAAGTCAAAAGTTTTCACTGCTCGAATGCTTTACTACAGATATACATATTATTTTACATTAACAAATCATAAATATATCACAAAAATAGTTGTTTTGTTTGAAATGTCTTGACCTTATCTGAAGTGTTACTAAAACTACCATCTAATAAAGAGCCAATCGAAGCAATTTAATTAATGATTTAGGTATAAGTGCTTAAGTGAGAAAGATGTTCAGTTAAAGGGGTCATATGATGTGATTGAAAATTTTCCTTTCTCTTTGGAGTGTTACAAGCTCATGGTGCATAAAGAAGATCTGTAAAGTAAATCACGCCCACCTAAAACGGCTCATTCTAACACGCCCCCAAATGTCTACATCACCTAGAGCCTAGAGCTGATCCGTGTTGGTCGCTGAGGAAATTCATCAACTTCGCGCTGTGGAAAGCCGGATCGGTCACATCGGTGACCGACGATATGAGGTCGGGGTTTTACAGCCCTTATTCATTGTACCCAAGAAAGGCCGTGGGTTACTCGCACGGCCGAGTCCCAAGATGGGCATGGCAACGTGGCACGCACCGAGTAACGATCACTCCGGCCTGTCACCAAGCTTTCAGCCCTTGGTCGGACCCTGCATTTCTTCGGTCAGGAGTTCCCCTAGTGTAGGTGTCCAGGCATGCTGGGCAAGCACATACTGGTCCGTACGGGCAACACTGCGACCGTTGAATACATCAGCCACCAGGGTGGTCTACGCTCCCGTCATATGTCGCAACTCGCCCGCCATCTCCTCCTATGGTGTCAGAAGCATCTGAGGTCGCTTCGTGCCATTTACATTCCGGGCCTGGTCAATCGTGCAGCTGACGAGCTTTCACGGCAGAATGCACTTCCGGGAGAATGGAGACTCCATCCCCGGACGATCCATCTGATATGGAGACACTTCAGAGCTGTACAGGTAGACCTATTTGCCTATCCAGACACGTTCCATTGCCAGCTGTTCTATTCCTTGACCGGGGGGACCCTCGGCATGGATGCACTGGCACACAGCTGGCCCGGGGCCTATGCAAGTATGTGTTTTCCCCAGTGAGCCTACTTGCATAGACACTGTGCATAGTCAGGGAAGACAGGAGCAGGTCCTGCAGGTTGTGCCTTACTGGCCCAGCCAGACCTGGTTCCCAGAACTGATGCTCCTCACGACAGTCCCTCCCTGGTGCATTCATCTGAGGAAAGATCTACTTTCTCAAAGACGGGGCACCCTCTGGCACCTGCGTCCAGAGCTGTGGAAGCTCCGGAGGTCCTAGGTGATTTACCCCAGGTGGTAGTAAACACCATCACTTTGGCAAGAGCACCCTCTACGAGGCGTGCCTATACTTTGAAGTGGAACCTGTTAGTTGAATGGTGCTCTTCTCACCGGGAAGACCCCCGGAGATGCCCGATCAGAGCTGTGCTTTCCTTCCTCCAGGAGGGGTTGGAGCGAAGGCTGTCTCCCTCCACCCTAAAAGTGTATGTTGCCGCAATTGCCGCACATCACGATACTGTAGACGGTGAGTCTTTGAGGAGGCATGACCTGATCATCAGGATCCTGAGGGGCAGGAGACTAAATCCACCTCGCCCTAACCCCGTACCATCTTGGGATCTCCCTCTGGTGCTTACGACATTGCAGAGGGCCCCTTTTGAGCCGCTGCAGTCTGCAGAGCTGAGAACTAAAAACAGCATTTTACAACAATCACCGACTGAGCTGATTCTGACGTTACATTTGGGTTTTAGGGAGGAACGAATCCGCTGTGAAGGGAAAGAAGTTGCGCAAGACGAAACGCAGCTAGTTTTTAATAGCTTTACCTCATGTCTTCTTTTGTATAATCCTTAGAAGCCAAAATCGAAATAAAAAAAAATAAATTAGCTTAATAAAACTGCCACAGGCCTAAAGTGTAAGCAGAAGTTTGAATGTTTAGTTCTCTCTTCTATTATAATTATTCAGGGCTTTCATGTTGCATGTGCTGAAGCTCCTCCGCGTGAGCACGATCTCGCTTCTGAATTGCGAATAGCAAAAATGCATCATAGACAAATGTTTGAAAAACATATAAAATAAATGTAAAAAAAACCAAACAATAAATGTATGTGTTTTCTTCATTTCTCCAGTACCGATAGCAGAACAGTTAACGTCAGAGCTTATCGATATTCCGGTCTTTCATAATTTTGCCCCGGGACTGATTAAATACCGGGTTTCGGTACCCATCCCTAGGCCTAACACTCGTAAAGTTGCCTGTTAGTTAAGCCATGTGCTAGGCTAGGTGCCATATGTTGTGATCCCCACGGTGATCCCATGTGTGTATTCTTCCACGGTACGGTTCCCCTCTTGGTGAGCCCACGTTTTTCCCTTGGCAGATTCTGCTCTGCCGTCCCTGCCGGTGTTGCCTCCCTCCTAACTGGGCTGGAGCAACCTCAGAGACATTCCATATGTTGTACTGCCCTTAATGCCCAGTCCAAATGTGTAATGATTCTGCAGCATCGCTGGAAAGGGTACGCTTTCCCAGTATTAGCCAATAAGTCTTACTGTATGGGTCTAGTGGAACAACAGTAATAGACTCTCTCCAGATATGCCCTGTCCGGTCTTCCACCCAGTTGCCACGGGGGGACCAGGTGGCTTACTAGGGGCGCTGGAAGGGGCAGCAATAGTGGCTCTTT